TAATGACCCAACATATATATATATATATATATATATATAAACATTCTAACACTTCCCCTCAAGCTGGAGAATATATATCAAATAATCCCAGCTTGAAACAAATAGTTCTTAATCAGTTATGACCCAATGCCTTGGTAAACATATCAACTAATTGATCTTCAGACTTCACGAATGGAGTAGAGATGCTCCCATGTAATATTTTTTCTCGAATGAAGTGACAATCAACTTCAATATGTTTGGTCCTCTCATGAAACACAGGATTTGATGCAATGTGAACTGCTGCTTGATTATCACAAAACAATGGAGTAAGAGCTTCAACTGTCAACCCAAGTTCTTTTAGAAAATTTTGTATCCATGTCAACTCACTAGTGGTATGAGCCATTGCCCTATACTCAGCTTCAGCACTAGACCGAGCTACCACCGTTTGCTTTTTACTTCATATAACAAGATTTCCTCCTACAAATGTGCAGTAGCCTGTAGTAGATCTCCTGTCTGAAGGAGAACCAGCCCAGTTGGCATCTGTAAAACCTTCCACCCTAAGATGACCATTTGATTTATATAGTAACCCAAAACCTGCAGCTTGCTTGAGATATCTGATAATCCGAAGAACAGCAATCCAATGTGGCATTCTAGGGGCTCCCATGAACTGACTTACAACACTAACTGCATATGAAATATCAGGTCGAGTGATAGTGAGATAAATTAATTTCCCAACAAGACGACGAAATCTGCCTGGGTCATTAAATAGATCACCCTCATCAGACACAAGTTTTATATTTAAATCCATAGGAGCATCAACCGGACGACCACCTAACATACCTGTTTCTTCTAATAAGTCCAACACATATTTTCGTTGGGATAAACTTATACCCTTCTTAGATCTAGCAACTTCAATACCCAAGAAATACCTAAGTTTACCCAAGTCTTTAGTGTGGAATCGATATTGCAGAAACAAATTCAACTTAGCAATGCCTTCAGAATCATCACCTGTGATCACAATATCATCAACACACACCACAAGAAATATAAAGCCAGCTTTAGTGCGTTGGTGAAATACCGAATGGTCGGTCTGACATCTGTTGTGACCAAATTTTAATGCCGGCTCAGAGAATTTTCCAAACCAAGCCCGTGGAGATTGTTTCAATCCATACAGGGCCTTTTTAAGGCGACAAATAGTGTGAAGATACTCCCCCTGAGTAACATACCTAGGTGGTTGCTCCATATAAACCTCTTCTGCCAAGTCACCATGCAAAAAGGCATTTTTAACATCTAATTGAAACAGAAGCCAATGCCTATTAGCAGTAAGAGAAATCAAAACATGAATAGATGAAATCTTAGCAACAAGAGCAAACGTTTCATTATAGTCAATACCATAAGTCTGGGTATAACCTTTGGCAACAAGACGTGCTTTCAAACACGCAATGGACCCATCTGGAAGATACTGCACAGTATATACCCAACGACAACCAACAGGTTTGGCACCTGGAGGTAATGGAACAAGATTCCACGTGCCATTCTGATGATCCATTTCATCTTGCATTGCTTTCCTCCAGCCCGAATCAAACAAAGCATCTTGCACAGTCTTAGGAACAAATGTAGTAGACAACTTAGAGGAAAAACATAAGAAGGATGGCGATAAAGAATTATAAGAGACATAATGAGCAATGGGATGATTAGTGACACATGAGCAAATACCTTTACGAAGTGCAATAGGCAAGGAATCAGACACAGTGGATGGTGTTGGATCCAAAGACTTTGAAGACGATGGAGGTGGCACGACAGCAGATGGCTTTGGTCTTCGAGTGTATACCTGTAACGGGGCAGGCGAAGGAGATCGAGGTTGAAGAGACAGTGAGGGAAGAGAAACCGCAGGAAGAGGGAAGAGAAACCGCAGGAATAGCCGACTCAGGAGTGATATCAAGAATTGAATCAGGATCTGAAAAATATGGGATGGACGCACAAAAGGTTACATCCACGCTAACAAAATACCGTTACATCCGCGCTAATAATGGAAAAACAACCCTAGCCCTTGCAGCGGTGACGGCAACCCAAGAAAAAAAAAAACAGCGATCTAACAACGGAGGGGAGATGGATCGCGATGATGGAACCTCTGCAACTTGCAACAGCCAAGGAAGCCTCGGCCAGCAAAACAAAAGGCTTCAGATCTGAGAATGACGGACAAGAAGCGCTGAACACAACGACAGCTTCAAACCTCCGGCTTTGAACAGAACGGCGGCCAAATCTTCAGCGAAAAACAGAATCGGCTTTGATCTTGATTTTGATTTGTAGAAGAACAACCCAGATGCAATCACAACTACAATCTTAGGTTCCCATTGTTTCATACCGCTCTGATACCATGTTCAAACTGATAAAAGAGAGAGAGAGAGAGATAGCGAGAGAGAGAGAGAGATCATGGCTACAGCAACTGTGTATATCATATATATCACATAACCTAATAAGCCTATGTAGACTTATATAAAGGATACAAGGTTAACTAAATAACACAAGGGCCTACTAACTAAATGTAATTACATAATAACCCAACATCTATACATATATATATAAAAACATTCTAACACAAACAAACAATCTGGGCTCCCACTTCCTTAAAGCAACCTTTACCACCCTCCTTTTGTCCAGATCGTTGAGACCACGAACATTCCAAGTAATGATTCGTAGCTTCATTGAGAACTAGATAAGATTATCTCCCCTCCTCCCTTCCTTATACTCCTACTTCTAGTCCTTCCCCTCTCCCTCACTGCCCCTCTTCCCTTCATAATTGATATAAGAGATAAGATTCTTAACCTCTCGTACCCCTTTCCAGGTCGCTAAAGGCCTCGTGTTCTCAACCTCATTAGTCACTGCAATCTCTCTTCCTTCCACTATTGCTTGAAGAATGGATAAAGTATGGCCATTGTTACCCTCTGAGGAGACACCCAACAGCTCACTAGTAACTCCTATATTTGTGACTTCCCAATCCTTTCCCATATCAGCAGCCATTCCAGAACAACCAGGTCGCACAACAGCTAATGGTTCCTCCACTAACAAGTTAGAATGGTCAGTCTCCAGCCAAGGAACAAGCTCATTATAGCTTACCTGTTGGATGGAAACAAGGTCATCAGTCACCTCATCTTCACTATTTCCTCCATTCACAGGCGGCTCTAGCAGTGTGTCTGAATCTGTAGCATAGTCGCCCAATCGATTGCTCAAGATTCTAACAGACTCAATCTCCTCTACTCCTGCAGGTGGCAAACAATTAAGGCCTTTCAAAGCTACACATAGGCGGAGCTCTTTGAGTATAGCCAAAGCCGAATTATTAGACAGCTGAAAATGGAGATCTCTCCCCACACAGACCGTAAACCCCTCAGGCGAGTCCTTTACTGCACAATCAGCTGGGTCAACATACCCAGAGATAACATGCTCGTAGGCAGCCTTCCCTTTCTTACTCAAACCCTGCTCAACTTCAAATGCCGAAGGCAGAATTGATAAAACACAACTTTTCTCAGTTGCCGTCTCAATATCACTCCTAAACACCCCACCAGGAGGAAATGGACTGAGTTCTACATTTCGAGTGCTAGATTTTCGGTCCTCGTTAATGGTGCTCCAATAGTTTTTTCTTGGCAGTTCGAGGGGGTTGAGACAAGGGGACCTGCTATCCCCCTTTCTTTTCCTGATTGTGATGGAGGGTTTTAGTAGAATGATGGCAAAGGCAGTGGATCTGGGTTTTTGAGAGGCTTCAGGGTGGGAAAAGAAGTCGCTAGCCAGTTGGAGATCTCACATTTGATGCTTGTTGATGATACCTTTGTTTTTTGTGACACTAATGATTACCAGATGAGATTCTTGAGATGCATTTTGAGTTCCCAAGAAGAGAAAGAAGAAAGCTTCAGCTGACGTGATCATAAGCCTTCTCAATGTCTAGTTTGCACAAGACCCCCGGAACCTACTACACAACCTAGAATCAAGACATTCGCCAGCAGTAAGAACTAAATCCAAAATCTGACGCCCCCCAACAAAAGCATTTTGAGAGTCCGAAATGATACCGTCCAACACCTTCCTCATTCTCAAAGCCATAACCTTAGCAATTAATTTGTAGATGCATCCCACCAAACTTATGGGTCTAAAGTCCTTCACATCTGTCGCTCCCCCCTTCTTAGGAATAAGAGCAATAAATGTTGTTGAATTCAGGCTCTTCTCGAAGTGACCCTGAGAATGAAAAGCATAGAAGTGTTCATCGCCTCTCCCCTAATCACCACCCAACTTTCAAGAAGGAACCTTATAAAGAACTCTTCAACGCCTTCACGACTTCTTTGTCTGAAAAGGGCCTCTCCAACCCCTTACTCTCTAATCCGGTGATCGCATCAAACTGAAGCCCTCCAAGGGAAGGACGCCAATTCGAGGTTTCAGTGAACAATTTCTGATAAAAAGAGGCAACCCCCCTACAAATATCCTCTTCCTTAGATAATAACTCACCATCCACCACAATCCTTCCAATATGATTGCCCCTTCTATGGGCATTTGCAAGTTGAAACATATCGAGGTAGACATTCACTTCATTCGAGAGAAGGTTCAATCAGATATCATTAGTCCTATTTTTGTTCCCTCTTCAGAACATTCACAAAGTCTGTTGGGCCTTCTCCTCTTCAGTCTTCCACAGTCAAGCTAGACATGGTCAACATATTTGCTCCGGCTTGAGGAGAGTGATGGAAATTATATCTTTGGGTTGACTTGGTGATTGTGGCAGATTTATTGGGTTTTTATTTAGGCGTATATTTAGGCTTTTGTTTAGGGATTTGTTTTTTTGGTTCTCTTTATATATTTGTAATTTTCCTCATATATATAATGATAGTCAGGCTCTCAAATTGAGTAAGCCAATTTTACCAAATCACTTTTAAGATCATTCAAAAAAATGTGATAAAATAATAGTTTATCGGGAATGAGTTAGTTATTGGCAAGAAATCCTTTTTCATGAAAGCATCAAGATAAGTATTGCAGATATTTACCTGACGATCATCAACATCAACACACCTCATGTCAACAAGAAAACGCAAGAGACTTGCATCCTGCAAACTTTTACAGTTTCAGTTCCAAAATTCACACAACTAGGCTTCAAATTCCATATAGCTCCTTGGTTAAATTCACCAATCTTTTCAGTTACCAAAAAATTAGATTTGGAAAATAATTTTAGTGCATGATAAATGCTAAATCACATTCACCCATCTTTTGAGTAAGCAGACAAATGAAATTTGGAAAATATTTCTAGTGCATCATAAACACCTACCTTTAGATTTATGTAGTCTCTTTGTTGCAGTTTTTCAACATCAGTTTCCTGTAAAAAAAAGATGCAATCAAAATATATATATTTTTTACATTGGTTCAGTTTATTTATAGACATGCTTGATGTAATCGTGATAAGCACAAATGGATGAGAAACTAATCTTATTTTTCATGCATTTTCGATACAAATCAATGCTTTACAAAGATTACATCCATTGATATGATATTGTAATAATTGAATTGTTTTTGTTATGAGAGATATGATAACCACGAATTATGGAATGACTTACCATATTAGTAGAGATTTGATAGCCTCAAATCATGGAGTTTGACTTTATTTACGCATATGTCTAGCCATAAAATATGTTGTGATCTGATTTAATTTCCGTTCTTGTAATATGAGCATGTACTCTTTTTATCTATAAATACTAAAGTTGTGAATGAGTGATTTATCTCAATCAAACCTATTATATATTTCTCTTCTCTTTCTTCTATATTGTGTTTCTTCTTGGTATCAGAACCAGGGTGGTCCGACTACAATGAGGGCATTGCGAGTTCTGCACCACCCATCCAAAAATAGTCTGAGGAGAAATTGTTGATGATTTGTGGTATGAGGAGACATTTTTTATTCTTCCAATATGTGAGGAAGGAAAATGGTTTGAGGAGACATCTTTGGTTGTTTATGGTCTCAAAACACATGGTTGGTTGTTTATGGTCTAAGGAGACATTCATTGTTTATGGTCTGAGAAGACACTTCGATTTGTTGATCAGCCCTTCATTTGAGATAAATCATCGCTAGTTAGATTTGCTCTCAGCACCTTACAGATATTCCTGCAAAGGGCGCTAGCAAGATTGTGTTTGAGGATGCATTGTCCAAAGTAGGGTGTCTCTGATATCCACGCACCAACTTGTGGGGGAATGTTAGCAGAGATATGATAGCCACGAATTATGGAATGACTTACCATATTAGCATAGTTTTGATAGCCTCAAATCATGGAGTTTGACTTTATTTACGCATATGTTTAGCCATAGAATATGTTTTGACTTGATTTAATTTCTGTTCTTGTAATATGAGCATGTTTTCTTTTTATCTATAAATACTAGAGTTATGAACAAATGATTTATCTCATTCAAGCCTTTACAGAATTCTCTCCTTTTTCTTCTTTTTATATTTCTTCTGTATTTCTTTTGTTTCATCTCTTTCATGCATCCAAAAGTAATTGCTTTGCTTTCGAGGGACTAATCAGGATTTACAATAACAGTGAAAAGAAAGTGAGTTTTGATTTTTACAATTTTCATATGACATAGAGAGTGCTTAGTTTGATGTTAATTTGATTCCAGAAAAAGTCAGCAGCATTTAATTCCAATACATCTATAGAGCACAAAGGAACCCTAATCCTTCACATAATTGGGAAAAAAAATTTTAAAAATAAAAAATAAAACATTCAAAGCCTCATCAAACCATTAGTTTCATAAGAATTTTGTCACGCCCTGGATTCCAAACCCCGATCCGTGATGAAAGAAAGGAAATTTAAATTAAAATGGAATGTAAACATCCTTATACTTGAGCCACTTCTTTTATTTTATTTCGACATTATATTATATTTTATTATTATTATTCATATCAGTTCATGTAAATATAAATGTGTACGAGTGTAGAAAATTTTCTTCTCTTTAAATATCAGTTCACCTAAATTTTCTCTTTTATTATATGTTTCATATAAATAACCAAGGCAACAAATTCTAAGTATTGAATTATAAATACTAAAAGTGATGAAAACCTAACCAAACCAGGACCACGTGATAGCCCATGTGTAAACTGGAGTGATTAGATTTCTTGTAAGGTCAATCTTTATCTCACTTGAAAGCTCAGCTCTTGACCTTAAGACTTTAGGATCATAGGATCATGCATATCATTCATACCATTTGCATGTCCCCAGGACCACTAGCGATTGGCCTTGAACCTCGTTCTCATTTTTCATGAGGTCTTTGCTTAGGTTGAGTCAGTTCAAGCTTTTGTAAGCTTTGGAAGAAATCAACTGTTGGAATCACAAACCAGGACCATATACCTAATTTATATCATTTGAATTGGTCTCTAGGTTTTAAAATACGGATTTGGACTTAATGGGTTCAATCTTAAAAAGCCTTAAGTGATATTGAGATGACCTCCAATTTGGAACATCTTTTATTCTCCATATTCACAAATAGATGAGGTCAAGGACCTTGAATCAATTTGATTCTTCAAACATGATATTGCTCTTGAGACTCGAAAGGATTTAGGACATGAGTTTATCACATAAATATTTCAAAGTCCTAAAGAAAACTGGAATGGAATTGTGCCTTGATCAAACTCTAAAGTGTTATATATATCATGGTATCAAGCCAATTTAGTTGATTGCTCAGTGAGCTTAAGTCGACTCAAACATTCTAGTGGCATCCCTTGCTTCAGATTTTTCAAACCTCAGTCAACGTCGACATTGTGTCAATCGACTTATATTAAAAAAAACTGAGATGACCAAAAGTTGACTTTTGAGTCAGCTGACTGATTCCTTGATCTGTCGGCTTGCACTGACCATAGAGTTTAAACACTCAAAGGATGCATGTTCAAGTCGACCTTCAACGTAAATCATTTAACTTAACTGATCTAGCCGAACATGTCAACAGCTCTATGAGCCAGTCAACAGTTCATGCACTGAACCCAAAAATCAAACGGCTAGTTCAGCAGTCCCAAAGCATTTCAATTGTCCCAAAGCATATTTATACTTACATTGTGCTGCCCTAGTGTGCATAAGCATTACTGAGATCCTCCAATCATAGTAGAGTAAGTACTAAGCCATTTCCGGTAATGAAAGGACAATAATGCCCCTGTAAATGTCTCAGCATTTGATATACACACCCCTTTTCTGCAGCCCTCAAAGGACAATATACAAAGCTGATATATACAGCTAGGAATTTGTATTTGTGTCATTAGTCTCTCTCACTAGGACCATTGTGCACGTGGCACAATGTTGAGAGTTCATCATTACACCAGAAATAACAATGCAATACCAGAAATGCCCTCACACAGGTTATGTACAGCTGCAGCATCTGTTTGTGTATTTGCACCAGAATATGAACACTGTAGGGTATTGCAGCACCTAGGGAAAGTGTAACTCATTCACACACATAAGTGTAAAGACTAAAATACCCTTGTGACAGATACCAATATAGAATGAGAATCCTTCACACTTTTGACATTCATTTGACATTAATAGGGTAAACCTCAATCAACAAAAACAATCTCCCAGAGCTAGGTTCAGCTGCTTCAGTGATGTAATTCTATCCATGGAGTTTGTTAGATGCCATTCTGACCATATGTGTTTTATCCACCGTTCCTCACTGGTCGACGCATCATTCTTCTTGTCTATATTGATGATATCATCATTATTGGCAATGACATCACTGGGATTTGCTCAAGTAAAGCTTCAATTGGCTAAAGCTTTTGATGTGAAAGACTTTGGGCAGCTCAGATATTTCTTGGGAATTAAGGTTGCTAGATCTAAGCAGGGTATCTCTTTATCGCAAAGGAAGTACGTCTTGGATCTTCTTCGAGACACGGGTATGCTTGGGTGTAAACCTGCTTCCACTCCTATGGATCCTAATCTGAAGATCTCGGCTGAGTCTGGATATCTCCTTTCTGATCCCTCGCAGTATCAGCGCTCGGTAGGAAGATTGATTTATCTTACCAACACCCGTCCTGATTTGGCTTTTGTAGTTAATGTTGTGAGTCAATTTATGCATGCTCCTCATACAACTCATAGGCGGTATATCATATTCTTCAATATCTTAAGTCCTATCCTGGACTTGGATTATTCTAGTCTTCTAGCAGGCAGTTTATGAATGCTTCTCAGAACCCCCACTCTTACCATCAACACCAGGTTGTCATGACCGCTGGTCTTTGTTAGGGATAGAAACTAAAGCACAACGATCTTGAGCCATACTGTGAATCATGTCACTCCTACGACTTTCCTCCTGTTGGACATATGCATAAGCTTGCCTCAAAAATGGGAAGGGGTCCCTACCAGGCACCTAAATACGAATCCAATCATACTCCATGTTAAGCCCGGCTAAAAAATCATACACACGCTCTTTATCCAAAAGTTCTTGAAATTTGGCACTATCACTAGCACATTCTGCTTGAAAGTTCTGATAATAATCCAACTCTTGCCACAGACTATTAAGCTTAGCATAGTATTGTGCAATTGACATATCTCGCTGTTTGGTTTCATGCACCTTTTTCCATAATTCATAGACTTGTGCATCATTCCCCAACTGAGAGTAAGTCTGAGATACAGCCATCCAAATGCCATGGGCCGAATCAAAAAGTTATCCACCACCGATATGTGGTTGCATGGAGTGTAGCAACCAAGACATCACCAGTGAATTGTCTGACACCCATCAATTATAAGAGTTATCGGTTGACTTTGGCTTCTTGCGCTCTCTAGTCAAATAAGCACTCAGGCCACGTGCTTGAATTGACGAAAGGCATGATCGAGACCACGCTGAGTAATTCATCCCGTCCAATTTCATAGGATTAATCTGAAGAGATGGATTGTCAACAATGGACAAGACATGGCCTAATCTACCTCTCAGTAGTTGTAGAGACTTCTGACATCTTATGTCAAGAACATATACAATAGCCAAAGAACAAACATGGAATCTAAGGATGAAATCAACTAGAAATAAGAAGAAACAATTATATATAATTATTAGACCTGAGTTGGATGCTTCAAATCATGCAACCAAACTTCAGAAAATCATCAACACTGTCTAGTTGCACCATTCTATGATAGACGGAAGCAGAAAATCCAATAGAAAAGGCTCCATCAACGAGATCACAACAAACAGCCTCTTTTTCTTCTTTTTTTATTTATTTAGAAGATGGCTTCAAAATCAGGAAAAAAAACTGGCATGTTCTAGAGAGGGGCGATTCAGGATGAAGACTTTTGAGCCTTAACTTGCTGATGTCAGTGTACTGATGCTGACGTCAGCACACTTCTGGCCTTCTTCAAG